GGGTCATCCCACACTCTCCCTTGCTGTTCCCAGGGGTAAAGTGGCACACTCCCAACAAGAGGGGGGGTTCAGAGGCAGTCGCCCTTCCTGGCTGCTCCGGGTGGACAAGATGCCCCCTGGGCGCGGGGTCCACATGCCCGCGGTGCCTGTGGGGCTTGGTGTTGGAGTGGACACAACCACAGGGCCAGAGGCAGGAAGAGGCACCAGCCGCCCCGGGAGTCAGTGAGCCAGGGCCACTGTGCACGGGACAGTGACTGGACACGGCAGGAAGCGGCTCCCCAGCCAGCCTCTGGCCTGGTTCTGAGGGGCTAGTGCTCCACTGTGCTGGAGGACACTGCCCATGTACCCAGCTGGGCCTTTACCTCCCCTGAGGATGGAATCAGCCTGTGGGCCCGGGGTGGAGGCAGGCTGCATGGGGCAGAGCCTGAGGCTGGGCCCTCAGGAGCGTGTCCTCCTCACACGGCCAGCAGGGACCTTGGCCTGCCCTCCGCCCCTTACCTGAAGACAGTGGGGGAAGGCTACCCCTGATGTGCAGGGGAGTCTGCAGAAGGAGGCTGTGTAGTAGAAGGAGGCTGTGCAGCAGAAGGAGACTGTGTAGAAGAAGGAGGCCGTGCAGCAGGAGGCCATGCAGCAGAAGGAGGCTGTGCAGCAGAAGGAGGCTGTGTAGAAGAAGGAGGCTGTGCAGCAGAAGGAGGCCGTGCAGCAGAAGGAGGCCGTGCAGCAGAAGGAGGCTGTGTAGAAGGAGGCTGTGTAGAAGAAGGAGGCTGTGTAGAAGAAGGAGGCTTTGCAGCAGAAGGAGGTCGTGCAGCAGAAGGAGGCTGTGTAGAAGGAGGCTGTGTAGAAGAAGGAGGCTGTGCAGAAGGAGGCTGTACAGCAGAAGGAGGCTGTGTAGAAGGAGGCCATGCAGCAGAAGGAGGCTGTGCAGCAGCTGCAGGAGGCAGAGCCCAGGGCCTGTGGCCTGGGGGAGGTGCAGGTCCACTAGTCGCCAAGGGTCCACCCAGAAGGAAGGCAAGACCAGGAAGAAGCCCAGGCTTCCCGAGGACTGGCCCCATGATAAGGGGTGGCCCTGGGGTGCCCAGTAGGTGGACTTCCAAGGACCCACCAGGGCCCCAGGGGAGACAGCAGGCTGTGCCCAGGCTTGTGAAGAGCCCAGCACCCACACGTGCCGCGGCACGGACGGCGAGAGCCCAGGGGCTCCTCCCTCACCATCAACTCCCAGCCCCAGGTCTCTGGGGAGGGTCCAGGGGAGGAGCCAGAGATGGCAAGAAGGGCATGAGGCCGACCAAGGTCCTTCCAGAGCTGGAGGGAGGGCAGGCCCCGGGGAAGGGCTGGCTCTGCAGACTCCTCCCGGGAGGCCCCCTGCACGTTCTGGGTGAAGCAGGACCGGGCAGTGGGGGCTGAACCCTGACCAGTCTGCACGCCCCCTGGGCACCTGGCCCTGGCTGAGCCTGCCAAGGCGGGGAGAGTGTGAAACTGTCCCAGGGACGGATCTCAGGTGCTGGGCGCTGCCAGGCCCCCTCCTGGGCTGACACCGTGGGCTGCTCCTGCCCATCCTCACCGTCGTCTCACACTCAGCACGGGCCTGGCAGGGCGGGCAGCCCATCGCCAAACTCCTGGATCTCAGAGAAAACGGTTCAGGGTCGTGTGGATGACCGAAGGCAGGCCCAGGGGACAGGGCCTCCCTTGCAGGGCTAAGGCAGATGACAAGCTGCTCGCTGGGACCAGGCGCTGGCAGAAGCCCCCGCTGAGCCTCAGCACATCCTTGTTCCATTCAGGGAGAGGGCAGGCGTGAACCTGCCACTTGCCCTTCGTGAGCGGCTTCCAGGTGGGTTAGAATGTTTGGTAGGCCACGGCTTCTCCGCCCTTCTTCTTCCTCTTCTTCTTTTTAATATTTATTTTTTAGTATTTTTAGGTGGACACAATATATTTATGTTTTATTTTTATGTGGTGTTGAGGATCGAACCCAGCGCCCCGCGCATGCCAGGTGAGAGCGCTACCTCTGAGCCGGAGCCCAGCCCACACAAAGGCGCTTTTCACTGGGGAAAATCACCTTTCACTGCTCCAAACTGATCAGAACAAACTCATACTCGGGCCAACTGGCCTCTGACCCCACTGAACCCTGCAAGTTGTGTTGGTGGGTCTCATTTCAGGAGCCAGGGTACAGGCCTGTGATCCCAGCAACTCAGGAGGCTGAGGCAGAAGGATCCCAAGTTCCAGGCCAGCCTCAGCAACGGAGAGAGGCTCTGTTGCAGAATAACCAATAAACAGGGCTGGGGACGTGGACTGGGCTGTGTCTCACTAGTCAAGCCCTCGCCTCGCATGTGGGAGGCACTGGGTCTGATCCTCAGCACCACATAAGACAGAAAAGACACTGTGTGGTCATCTACAACCAGAAACATACAAAAAGGGGGTGGAAGTAGTTCAGTGGTAAAGTGCCCCTGGGTTCAATCCAAAGAAAAAAGAGTAATAAAGAAAAAAGAATGATAAAAACAATTTTCCACTTCATACACGGAGCCCCCCCGGAAGGTGCTGAGAGTAACAAACCTGGCCAGCAGGACCTGTGTCCACGGAGGTCCAGGTCTGGCCCATCACACAGCTGCAGACACTGGCTGGGTGGGCAGGGGCTCTCAGGACAGCATCAGTCACGTGGCTGTGAGCTGCTCCCTGTGCCCCTCTAGGACACGCAGGTGGGTGGTCCCTCTGGGTAGTGTGCAACTCCAGGCCAGCTGCAGGGGACCACCCAGCTCCCCTGTCCAGGGGACAGACGTTCTCCGTCTTCCTGTGATTCCCTGGGTTCCTGTGGCCAGGGCCTCACACGTCATGAAGCACAGGGACAGGAGGAGGGTGGCTGCTGGGGACCCAGGCACTGGGAGGAGGCTCAAGCATGGAGGGCACAGCTCGTCCAGGGGAAGCTTGGCCCCTGGGCTGCCCATCCCCTGGCCAGGTGGAGGCTGCTCCCTGCAGCCTGGGCACCACCTGGGGACTTCTGACCCCTGGGTCTTCTTCCCTCCCTTCCACAGGGAGTGTCCCAGAAACCGGTATCCAGGACAAGGGACCCCTGGGGCCTCCCCCATCAGCCAGCCATGGGGACCTGGCCCTCTGAGTCCCCTGGACGCATCCCCCAGCCCTGCGTTCCCAGCATGCTCGGCATCCTCCTGCTCCTGGCCGCCTCCCTGAGTGCTCAGAACTCAAGTAGGTATTGGGACGCTGCCCCTCTGCCACAGAAGGGCTGGGGACACAGGGGTGGGAAGGGCAGACCAAGGTCAGGCCCAGAACTGACCCACCCCCAGTGACGACTGTGACCCTGCAGACCCAGGCCCATGGGTGAGAAGCCAGCGGGAGGCCCTGGGTCTTGAAAGGGCAAGCCCCGTGCACCCAGGACAGCAGGGCAGGCACCCCAGCAATGCCTGCTGGCCACTGCCGGAGCATCAGGGGTGCCCAAGACCACGTCCAGGCTCCAAGGCAAAGAGGATCCCTGAGAGTTGGGGCCGGTGCCATGGCCAGGGGACGAGAGGCTCCACAGGACCGAGGACCTGCCAGCAAGTCCCTGAGGCACCCTGGTCAGCAGCCTCAGCATCACTGGGCCTTAGACACTCAGAGCACTAGACGGGGAGGTGCAGTGCACAGGGTCCCCAGGGAGTCCCCGTGCAGCTCTCCAGATCCAGGTTGGCTGTGCAGAGAAATGCCCCCAGGGCCACCCAGGCACCAGTGTCCTGGTCACTCTGATAGCCAATGGGGACAGCAGAATTTGGGTCAGATCCCCCAGGAGGTGCGACTGGAGACCCTAACACCACAAAGACCTCCCTGGGGCCGCGTGGTGGCACTGCACGGGGCAGGGAGCTGCAGGAACATCGGCTGACCAGCTGCCTCCTGCCCAGTGACCAGCTGGTGGCACACACGCCTGGCACACGGCCTCCCTCCCTGCGGTGTGTGTCTGACTGCCACCCCAGCTCTGTGGGCTTTGATGGACCCTATCCTAGCGTCAGTCACCTGTAGAGTCCCTGGAGGCGCTGACACCACCCCTGCCCCGCCCAGGCCCCGCCCTGCCCACAGTGTGACCCTCCCCTCCACACAGGCTGGGACAGGCCCTCTTGTACAGAGGGCGTGGTGTCCGTGCCCAGGGGCCAGCGGGCAGTGATGGCCTGCAACATGTCCAACGCCTTCTCCGACATCTCCATCCGGCTGCGCGCCCACGGAAAGACCGTGACCATCTTCGAAAAGCGGCCCCCGGGACGCTTCTCCAGGGATGGCTGGACACTCCAGGTGCACGGAGGCCAGGCCCAGCTGGTGATCACAGCCGCCCAGGACGCCCACGCGGGACAATACGAGTGGCGTCTGCGAGGGCTCCAGAGAACCACCAGAGCCACGTATCTGAACGTCTCAGGTGAGGGGCCCGGGGCGGGGCCAGAGCCAGGGCCAAGCGGGAGGGTGGGCCAGGGGCGGAGCATGGGAGGGGCTGGGGGCAGCTGGGGGCTCCCCGCTGGGAGGGGCAGCGGCCAAGGAGAGGAGCAGAGCAGAGGGCAGAGTCCAGGGGCACAGACCCACAGGCGCAGGCCTGAGTCCTGACCAGACTCAGCAAGCAAAAGAGTCCCTGGCCCCAGCTCCTGTGCGCTGTCCTACCCTCTCCAAACCTGCCGCGCCCAGCGCGCCCGCTGCACAGCTTCACCCTGGACCCCGTCCCCATAACAAGGGCAGATTCTCCTCAGACCACTACCACCCTGGATTGTCCTCACTCAGACACACCCGCCCAGCACCTGCTCCATTCCCCCACCTCCTCCCTCCCCCACGGGCTCCCTCAGTTGTCCACAAATAGAAGGGACCACAGGGCCCCCCCGGGCCTCACAGGGCCCGCAGGTGTCCTGGGTGCGTCCCTTCAGGCCCCTCCCAGCCTAAACCCACTGCCCCCCTCATCCTTTCCTTCCCTACGAGATCCAAGGTCCCCATGCCCCCCACTGGTCTAATCCACCCTGTCACCTGAGCCAGCTGGCAGTGTCTGTGATCTGGCCCCTGGAGGGGACCCAGGGGGCCCTACCCCTGCTCTGCCCCAGAGGTAGAGGGACAGCAGGGCTCTGTGCCAGCCTGACAGTGTCTCCCCAGCAGAGTCTCAAGACCAGGAGGAGGCAGCAGGCCTGAGGCCGTCCACACCTCCCTGGGGTAGGTGCTGCGTCCCTGTCCCTGAGCTGCCACCCTCCCCTGGCTCCTCAGTGCGTGGCCCACCCCAGGGCCACTGTGCCACCCACCAGCCTCCCTCATCCCAGTGATGTCCCTGCCCAGGAGGGTGGGGTGGGCAGGCAGGAGGTGGCGGGGATACCTCTGTGGCCAGTGAGTCAGTGAGTGATGGGTGGAGTGACCAGCGATGAGGTGACTCTGCCCACCTGTCCTTCCCAGGCACTGCAAGCCAGGTCCCAGGCTCAGAGAGGCTGCAAGCCAGGTCCCAGGCCACACGCCCCAGTCCATGGTGGGGGCGCTGGTTGCTGTCCTTCTCTTGATCCTGGTGGTGGGCTCCCTTGGCTGGTGTTGGCGCCGGCGTTCTCCGAAGTGTGTGCAGGTAAGAGGCCTCCATGTGGTCCAGGGCAGGGTGGAGGTTTCCCTGCGGCCTGTACTGGGCAGTGGGCCCCTCGGTCCTGCACCCCCAGTGGCTCAGGGACACAGTGGGGCTCCCAGGC